CGGGGCTGAGCCCAGAACCTTGTTATGTAGACTACAATACACTGTTAAATATTAAACATCCAATTACTTTTAAAGCTATTAAAATGAGCGACACTTTGATCAATTACAACATGAGAATTCTGTGCGTAATGCGTGATCAATAATGACCCAGATACTGTATATAACTGTAGAACTCTGACAGGGCTGTATTGCAAAATGTATTTTGTTACTTACACTTCTGTGATTTAAGGTCTAGCGTTTTGAATGCAACACTTGTGTCTGCAGTGAAATACTTTATTGTAACTTCTATTTAATTAAATGATCCAAGTACTTCTTTCATGCATGTTGAACATAATATTATATAAAATAAAATGTGAAATGTGTAAGGATTGCTACAAAATTAATTTGGATTAAACATGTTTAGACTGGAGCAGTAAAACTGCAATACGCAACACAAATGTGTCACAAGAATAAATAAGTAGAGACCATGTTTAACAATCCCACACAGTGTCGTGAGAACGGTTGGGTATTTCAGTCAGCAGCTCTAGTGCAAAAAACTAATTATCATCAGAGTGCTTCATGCTGCCAAATGATTAGTCCCCCACAGGCTGCCCAGAGGCATTCTGTGCTGGTTTGTTAATGAACATGTACTATGTCCTGGAAACAAACCGCATTCTTCCAGTCATTGACACAAAGACGGGTGTTAGTCTGACACTGTTAAAGCGAGCAGACATGGAGAATGCACAGGGAATTCCTCGGTGCAGGGGAAAAACGCTCCAGCACTTTGTCCCCTTCTGTGGAGAAAATACATTTAAGTTGACAATGATGTTGTTTTTAGGCTTGTTAAGGGGACTAACTAAATAATAAACACAATAAAGCCTGGTTAGTTAATTAATTCTTAAGTATGATAATGCACTACTTCATTTATAGATATTTTTACAAACTATCTTTTGAACTAATGTCAGAAAATGTAAAGGAATATTAGGAATAACCAGCTGACGGTGAGATAAGGAGATCACAGCAACAACTAGCTGTCGGCTGTAACGAAATATTTAGCAGTAGTGGAAGAAGGACTGTGATTCTTTACTTAAGTAAAAGAACAAAATTATTGGCACCAAAATATACTTAAGGTAGCAACAGTACATCGATTCTGAGAAGGAACTAAATTTATCAAATACATGTAGTGCAGTAAAAAGCACACAATTAGTTTTCATTTGTAATATTTATGCCCTTTTAGCTGTTTTGTTCTGCAAATTTAATCCCACTCTTCCTTAGTTACCTCTTTCAAACCATAACCTCAGTATCTTATATCTGTTTGGAACTTTTCAGTTGTATGTGCATGGTATTTGTTGTATAGAGATTACTGCACCACACTTCCTGTTGGCCTCTGGGGTTACTGTTGTAGAGCAAGAGCTTCTCTCTTTCATCATCATCATCATCATCATCATCAAGTCAGTGTTTCATGTATTGTCCCTTTTCACAGGTAAATAAAAACCAGAAGAATGACAAAGACAGGAGCAGTGGAATATGAGACAACAAAGTGGCATCATCTGTGCTACAGTGCACCATAAACCCGTCTGACCTGATGCCTCACACAGGTTGGCGGCGAGCCGGGGAAAACTGCAGACAAACAGATACTGTACAACTAAGACAGAGCACCGTCAGGAGGAAATACCAGCCCCAGGTCTCCATCATGTCTAACGCAGGGATTTTTGTGACCACTTCCTCTTGTGTTCTCAACACTTTCACAGTCTGGGGGGATTGTTAGGTGTTTTCCATCTGTTAATGGGTGGATTATTCAGCAAGGCGAGGTTGCCTTGTTTGAAAATAAATCTCATTCAGATTGGGAGAATGTTAGAATACAAAGTAATTATGCTAAATTCACCCATGGAGACATACGATACTAACGTCAGGGGTTCGACCAGAGACAGTGGGCTCTGCTGTGCGCAGCTCACATAACAGCTTCAATTAGAGTCTAAGGAAAAGTGGTTTCAAAATACAGTATCTTGTCCAAGCCAAAATTAAGGACATCTGTGCACGTTAATCAAAGTCAGAATCATATGTTACATCTCAAAGATCTTTAGTCACACAGAGGAGCTCTTCTTGTTTTGGTCACTGAAGCTGGTGGGAGCCAAACAGACTGTGTCATTCGAAGAGTCAGTCTCACTTACATTGAACTGTACAAACTATCCAAACTGCCAGGTTCCCCTGCATGGCTCAACAAAACACACACATTCAGGTGCACTGTACAGATGGAAAACACTATTTCCTTTAGTCTGAGGATTTGATGGTGAAACTTGTTCAACTTATTTTCCTTATGTTCAAACTTCGGTTGTTGTGTGTGATGAAGCTCAGTCTCATCGAACCCGTGCTGGTGTCTTGGAATTCTTCACAGACTTGGTCCTTTAACAGATTCTGTTAGGCTCATTTGCACTTTTACCCTTGTTTGCTGCGCACACCAGCGCCATCTTGTGTTTAAATCAGAATGAACCAAAGGAGCCAAAAGCTCAAGCAATAAAATGAATTCCAGGATAACATTCAACATATTGTATCAAAGGTAAATCTCCATGCAGTCCATGTAGACATGCTGTAGGTTTAAGTCACACATTCAGAAATGTGTCTTCAGAAGCAGTAAACCCAGACCGCCACCTCATGTTCAGCTGTTCATTCTGCCAAACTGCATTTGTCCAAATCAAAGGCACCTCTCAGTCAAACCTGTTCTGCAATGTGTAGTGAACGTACAAGGAAAAAGCAATGGGGACTTTTCAGGACAGGGGAAAGATGTTTTGGCGTCTTTTCCCCTTCTAATGAGGAAATTAATTTAATCTTCATTACTTTTTTAAACGTGTCTCATTAGCATAAGACAAACTGCACAACTTTTCATTTGGACAAAATAAAGGGAACTAAATTTATCAAATACATGTAGTGCAGTAAAAAGCACACAATTAGTTTTCATTTGTAATATTTATGCCCTTTTAGCTGTTTTGTTCTGCAAATTTAATCCCACTCTTCCTTAGTTACCTCTTTCAAACCATAACCTCAGTATCTTATATCTGTTTGGAACTTTTCAGTTGTATGTGCATGGTATTTGTTGTATAGAGATTACTGCACCACACTTCCTGTTGGCCTCTGGGGTTACTGTTGTAGAGCAAGAGCTTCTCTCTTTCATCATCATCATCATCATCATCATCAAGTCAGTGTTTCATGTATTGTCCCTTTTCACAGGTAAATAAAAACCAGAAGAATGACAAAGACAGGAGCAGTGGAATATGAGACAACAAAGTGGCATCATCTGTGCTACAGTGCACCATAAACCCGTCTGACCTGATGCCTCACACAGGTTGGCGGCGAGCCGGGGAAAACTGCAGACAAACAGATACTGTACAACTAAGACAGAGCACCGTCAGGAGGAAATACCAGCCCCAGGTCTCCATCATGTCTAACGCAGGGATTTTTGTGACCACTTCCTCTTGTGTTCTCAACACTTTCACAGTCTGGGGGGATTGTTAGGTGTTTTCCATCTGTTAATGGGTGGATTATTCAGCAAGGCGAGGTTGCCTTGTTTGAAAATAAATCTCATTCAGATTGGGAGAATGTTAGAATACAAAGTAATTATGCTAAATTCACCCATAGAGACATACGATACTAACGTCAGGGGTTCGACCAGAGACAGTGGGCTCTGCTGTGCGCAGCTCACATAACAGCTTCAATTAGAGTCTAAGGAAAAGTGGTTTCAAAATACAGTATCTTGTCCAAGCCAAAATTAAGGACATCTGTGCACGTTAATCAAAGTCAGAATCATATGTTACATCTCAAAGATCTTTAGTCACACAGAGGAGCTCTTCTTGTTTTGGTCACTGAAGCTGGTGGGAGCCAAACAGACTGTGTCATTCGAAGAGTCAGTCTCACTTACATTGAACTGTACAAACTATCCAAACTGCCAGGTTCCCCTGCATGGCTCAACAAAACACACACATTCAGGTACACTGTACAGATGGAAAACACTATTTCACTTGTATTTGCTCTGATTTCTCCAGTATTCCATAGTGATTCTGGAACCTTTAGTCTGAGGATTTGATGGTGAAACTTGTTCAACTTATTTTCCTTATGTTCAAACTTCGGTTGTTGTGTGTGATGAAGCTCAGTCTCATCGAACCCGTGCTGGTGTCTTGGAATTCTTCACAGACTTGGTCCTTTAACAGATTCTGTTAGGCTTTGGCATTTTGTTAGTGTTTGGCCTCTGCCTTCATTTGCACTTTTACCCTTGTTTGCTGCGCACACCAGCGCCATCTTGTGTTTAAATCAGAATGAACCAAAGGAGCCAAAAGCTCAAGCAATAAAATGAATTCCAGGATAACATTCAACATATTGTATCAAAGGTAAATCTCCATGCAGTCCATGTAGACATGCTGTAGGTTTAAGTCACACATTCAGAAATGTGTCTTCAGAAGCAGTAAACCCAGACCGCCACCTCATGTTCAGCTGTTCATTCTGCCAAACTGCATTTGTCCAAATCAAAGGCACCTCTCAGTCAAACCTGTTCTGCAATGTGTAGTGAACGTACAAGGAAAAAGCAATGGGGACTTTTCAGGACAGGGGAAAGATGTTTTGGCGTCTTTTCCCCTTCTAATGAGGAAATTAATTTAATCTTCATTACTTTTTTAAACGTGTCTCATTAGCATAAGACAAACTGCACAACTTTTCATTTGGACAAAATAAAGCTTGGTTAGTTAATTATTAAGTATAATAACAAATGAGCTTACATAGTCTATAGTAAGTCTTAGTCTACAGCTTTTTTTTTTTTACAATCTCTAGAATCGATGTCAGAAAATGTAAAGGACTAATAGGAACACTAGCTGAGAGTGAGCAGTAGCAGCTGGTTAGCTCAGCTTAGTATAAAGCATGGAAACAGGGGCAAACAGCTGGCATCGCTCTTCCAAAGGTAGCCTGAAAAAATCTGCACCTCTAAAACTCATATTAATGTGTTTGGCAGCCGAAGTGATGCAACCTGGAGGAAGAACCTACTCCCTGCCAGACAACGGTGGCTGTTTCAGCTTTCTGCCAAGGGTGATAGTGAAATGCACCCAGAGCGAGCGGTGATTGTTTCTGGCACAAAGGAGACACCGTCAACTCAGGCTCTTTGTAGTTTATGGCCTCAAGACAACGGGGAAGATTTTCCTGCAACACACGATACAACTCTGACTACATGATGTGCCTCTGCATTCACTCAGATGATGAGTTGAAGGAACAGTGACTATTAGTTTTCACCTTTGTTTCCTCTTTGTGTTTACTTTGTCACCTCGTACCTTTTATGTTCACTATGTACACTTATGTTATTAAAGTGGAATCAATCAGACTCAAAAACTGACCCTCAGACTGACTCAGATGTTATATATTAATTGATACAATGAAGAGTTTCACTGAGTCGTGGTCTTACCCTCCGGAGCGGGGTGTCACTGTCAGGCTTTCCTAACATGTACTGTAACTCACACCTGAAGCCAGGCAGCAGAGGACCAGGATCTTCATCTCTTGGGTTCTTTCTTCAAGTAGGAGACAAGGGGACGATGACGGTTCTTCTTCTGTCTTTCTTTGCAGCCCACACTATGACATGGATGTGTGAGTGTTTGGATCATATATTGCACACAATGACACAGATGCAGAAAAACACACCTCTGCAAAAATAATATACACGTTAAAAGCACGTTGGATTTGTGCATAGATGGACACAAATAAAAACAGTTACATAGAAAGTATGTGGACCCTCTGCTTCCAGAAGGTGGGAAGAAACACATGTGGACAACTCTCAGCCACAGTTCACAGCCGTGGGGAGCGTTGTTCGCCTAGTTTAGGTCATTGTTAGCATCTTCTACTTCCTGAAGTGGCAGGTTTGTTTGAAGATGGAGGAAAGGTATGAAAAAATGCCTAAATACTAAAAAGATACATAGAATGATGTAGTATAACTGCAAAAATACACAAAGTTACAGGACGACTAGCTGTCAGATTTAGTGATGATACTAGAAAGTTTAATGATGCGCTAGAGGTGCAATGCCTGCTGCGGCCTGGAGAGGTCAGCGTTTCACAATGTAGGTCACAAAGGGCACGCAGCCGAGAAAACCACCGTCCCACTTATGTGGCATGATTTTAATCCGAGGGCTTTTTATTACAAACCACAGAGTTTTCCTAGAAAATACCAAACTCAGAGTGTCTGGAGATGTGTAGAAGGTATAATGTGGGAAGACGGCTTTACCAAAACTGTTGAGTGGATAAAGTAGTGCACTGGAATGTGCTGTTTAGCTTCAATTCAAACACAACTTTCCACAAGAAAAGTGTTTTTAGTGTTTGACCATCTTTACAACTAATCTTTACTGTTTCATTAGAAGGATGCCATCGCTGCTGCTGTGCTACACCATCACTTCTACTGTACTTGCAGCATATCACCATGGTGACATTTCCAAAACAAATCCTTATTTTAAGTCTCTGCCACAGAGCAACCCCTCTGTTGCTGATTATTCAGGCTCTGGGCTGGTCCTGACTGCGCCACATGGGGTGTAATTTCAGTGTCTGGGTCAGTCTCGGTGCCTGTTGTTGTTTCATGGACCGATTTCAAGGATTCAGCCTCAGGACACCTTTATTTATGCACACATGCGGCCTTGTGGTAACACAATGTTAACTATGTGCCGATCTGTCTTTGTCTCTGCATGCGACTGTCTGCAGCAGCCAGGACGACATATGGTGTGTTGAACAGCTTCATCCTGACACAGCAAAAAACACAGACCTTGAATGCACAAATTAAAATCAGCAGCGTGTCCTTGTTTAACCCTCAACAAAGCAGTGGTGGAAAGTAATGATACATTTAGTCAAACTCTGAACTTCTGAGGTATTTGTACTTATTTGACTGTTTCCATGTTATGTAATCTATTACTCCACCACGTTTATATTGCACCTTGTACTCCACTAAACTGTTTGAGTCTCTAAGGAATGACAGTGTTAAAGATGTAATAAAATAAAATAAGCACAGGATTGAACTTTGTTCTTCTTTCCTCATCATGTCATGACCTCTCAGGTTTATCTGGTGACACTGTGGAGGGTGTGAACCTAGCTCCACCTCCAGCAGCTAAACTTCACCACTGATGTGTCATTAACAGTTTGATAAACTCCCATAAAATCAGTCCTGGGGCACATTTTACTGAGAACAAGTACATGTTGCTGATGCTTTAATGTTTTTACTTAAGCAGGATTCTGAACCTTTACTTTTCACGGATCCTTCTGAAACTGTGGTAGTGGTATTTTTACTTATGGAGAAGTTCTGAATGCCTCTTACAATCTGTCTCTAAAGCAGAACAAATCAAAACCCTCTTGAGCAGCTACAACAGTAAAATGGTGCATAAATCTAATGTCATACACTGTATAATAATACATCAACGACAGTTTGCTGATAATACTCTTAGTAGGATCATGAAAGCAGAGATTTGACTTGTTTTAATGGGTACGACTGCATAGTAAATACGTTTTGGCTGCTGGTGAGTAATGTTAAAGGATTCAATTGCAACTGAAAATCAATTCTCAAAATTTAATTTCCCCTGGTGACGCTCATGTTAATTAGAAAAGTATGTTTGCTCCACTTGTCACAGCTCCAACAATTTATTTGGTGTGTTAACCTTTAAAACTCACATAGCATTAAAATTAGCCGCTTAAATCTCAAACTGTCGCAGGATCAACTTCTCATCTACACATTCATTCAAAGGATTAAGACAAACCCCAGGAAAAGGGAATTTATTATTTTTCTCAAGGCAGTGGAGATAATCAGTGACTGCAGCGCTGGCCGGGATCAGAACCCCCTACTGATAATGTAATAAATGGTTAGCAGTTGGTGAACAAAACACTCAAGCAGATCACATAAAGCTCATAAATGCTGTGAAAGTGTGATAATAATGGATAAAGGTTATTCAGAGATTATACAAGAGATGGGCCGTGCATTTCTACAGGAGTATAATGATGGGCTGGTGTGACACCTGAGCCACACTGGAGGGCTCAGTGTGTCCTCTTCTGTCCAGCTACAGAAACAAGACAAACACATAAATTATATCAAAATTGTGGAATGAAGTGTTCATATCCAGAGGATTAGAACAATTCAGCAAGTGACAGAGTGATACTTTGAGTTTAGTATCGGCGAGGTCCAGCTGGCCTCTGGGGCTGGATCTGGGAGCCAAAGTATCTCAGGTAGGCCTGCGGATAGCCGTGGTTGTAGGCGTAGAAGCGGCAGAGAGTGTAGTCCTCACAGATCTCCTTACGCTTCTCTGCTGGGGACTTCGGCCTCCTTTTGGGGGGGTGGGGTGGGGGCAAAGACAGAGGCAGTCAGAGGGAGGAATGGGTATGGGAAGGAAGAACTAAAACCAGAAACAGATGCAGCATTTAGCTTCAGGCTCTTTGTGTTTCTGTCAGTGGATGTTTAACAGTCTGTGTCTTAATGACCTGCAGTCTCACGTGTTCACCTGAAGGAGTGATGCATGCTGTGTGCACGTATGTGGTGATATGGTTATACCTTGTGAATCTGTAATAGCCAAGGCCGTTTCCTCTGGGTACGTTGTATACGTTGGGCCTCTGCGGTGTGATGAACGAATTGGCTTGGTTTGGGGGCACAAACACATCTGGAACCACAAAACCTTACTAGACAAAATCCTTGATTGAACCATATCAGGCATCATGCAATTGATCTGGTGACATAAGGGCGGGGCTATGTTAGTGATTAAATGCATTAGACTCGATTGCAGGCTGTTTGTTAGAACTGCATGCATGTTTTTCCATGATGTACAGACATTTAATCACCTTCAAAGGATTCTGTGCTTTCATGGGAGTCTACAGGAAAAACATGGAATCGGGTTAATCACAAGTGATGAATCACCGTCTAACTGGATGTTCTGCAGGTTTCTAATACATAACCAACTGCTGAAAGGTGGCGAGGTGAGGGTGCGTACCGTAGCAGACGCAGAGAGCGACTGCAGCACAGAGCGCCAGAAACCGAAGAAGGCTCCTCATCCTGGGGCTGGTTTATCTGCCTGTCTGCTGGAAGAGAGGACAGAGGTGTTTCAGTCACGTCAGCACCAAGAGAGTTAGACAGTTAAACGAGGAGAAACTAGAGCAGCGAGGGAGACAGAGAAAGAAGTGAGCTCAGATTGCCAGTGTGTGGGTAATCAGGAAAAAACCACAAGCAGCAATAAACGAGTGACAGTGGCAGACTTTCTATATCTGTGCCTGTGGTTATGGTTTTGTGCACGAGGGTTAGAAGCAGTCACACAAACAACTGATATAGGCTGTCCTATAGAGAATCATCTATTTATGTTGGCAGCCGAATTCCTGTGTGGGAAAAAACACAAGCCAAAGTTACACATATTTTTAAGACCAGATGAAGATCTGTGAGGCCTTTTCAGTGCACTGGACAAAAGCCAGCACAAAATCCACAAACACCATTCAACCAGTAGAATCCCAGTTTGTAGGGACGAGCCATAAGAGAGTAACTGCTTTGCTCACTGCGAACTAATGGAGTCCACACACTTAAGCTTAGTGCAGGGAGACAGTGCCATTATAAAGAGGCAGGTGTCCCGTACGGCGCACACACACACACACACACACACACTGCACATGCACAAACATATGCATTCAAGACCATGCAGGAGCAACCTGCACTAAGGTGTGCGACACCTGTACAAACAGATGTCTGTAACACACACAGTGTATTCGCATGACTGCAGTGCAGAGAAGTGTTCATCCATCTTGTGTTTGTAGGATTTGGATGGAATTCTGTTTCAGCAGCAGCTCTCCTTCTCACCATCAATAGCATCTTTCATTATACATAAACACACACACACACTA